CAATTCTCCTGCCTCAGCCTCCTGAGTATCTGGGATTATAGGCACGCACCACCATGCCCAGCTAATGTTTTGTATTTTTAGTAGAGACGGGGTTTCACCATGTTGACCACGATGGTCTCGATCTCTTGACCTCGTGATCCACCCGCCTCGGCCTCCCAAAGTGCTGGGATTACAGGCATGAGCCACCGCGCCCGGCCTTCTCTGTAATCTTTAGAGTCCTCCAAGAGAAAGCTCAGCCATAAAAATGGTTGGATTTGATGGCACTACCACAGTCTGGAATGTTCTTCAATATTCATACATAGACGCAGAAATAGTGGATTTGGGGAAATCACTATTAATGAATGAAAGGAGGTTTTCTTCTGAAGCATCAAACTTCACAATGTTCTTAACTGCTTATATTTTTTAAGTCATTTAAAATGCAAATGATAAAAGTAATTATCTGTGCATAAAAGAAATCATCTATGGGTAAAAGTAATCATCTATGTGTAATTCCTTTGTGGATGCCATTCTGAAATAGATTTTTCCCCCTCTATGAGGAATTTATTAACCACAAAGAAATTGCATAAGACACCCAGCTCATTTGAATGAGATCTCTGTATTGGAATTCAAGTGAGAGGCCAGCATTTACTCACAAAGCCAAACAACCCCCCGGGGGATTCTTTCTAGCCATGCAAATACCAAATAGCTTCAGTTTGTCAAAGTCACTTAATACTGTTTTAAAGACCAGCTCAAAATGCTTCAAGTCCCTGGAGAACTGTGACTTGTGAAAGCTTTCCTTTGCCATGGACTGAAGCAGGGATGGAGAGTGGGCTGTTCAATATTCATGCCGATTCACACAGAGAGCCTGTCCAGATGCGCAGGCCGAGGGGAATAGGAGCATCTGAAAAGGGAATTCATCCAGGGAACAAAACCAGCAACCTCTGCCCCTATTATGCTGCCTCGGGATTTTAAAAAGATTACTCTTCCAACAGATGGGCCTTCATGTGCACCTGATCATTGGAAAAGCACCTCCAGCTAAGTGCTGATGGCATATGCACCCGGCACTGAAGGAATGATTCTATTTTTAACTTCATTTGCTATTCTGTTTCTCCTTTCACCCTATCCATTGAAAAGCACCTCAGAAACTTTTTTTTTTCCCCAGTTTAATTTCCCAAATTATTTGCTCATATGTGCACTAGAATGGTGAGGTTAGTGACAAACCCATCCTCTTCCTTCGTGGGGGGTGGGGGCTTGGGGGGGGTGGGAAGTGGGAGCTAGATGGATGTTTGCCAATTGCAGGTTTCGTTACAAAAGAACAGAAGGAAAGGGATTTTTTCTCATTGCCATGTCAAATTTGGTAGAAGTGCCAAGCAAGACCTAAGTTTTTTACATAGATTCACATGTCTATTTCTTTGGAGATGTTTTATTATTGCAATATGATGGAATACATAAAACAATACTCCAACACTACTGGGCAGAGAGTCAAACAAAAAAGATCCTGTTGAAAACCCTGTAATTGCCACTATATAGCCTATAGCATTCTCTAGTTTTCTGCTTACTACTTAACAGAAAATATAATCAATTTAATAGAAAATCTGTTGTAAGGAGAAACTCAAGAAAGCTTAAGTATAATCCTCAGGAATTAATTTTAATCCTTGTTATAGAATGCATATTCAAAAAGACCTTGGCATTCAAAAATCTCTTGGCCTTTCAATAAATAAAGAGAGTGGTTGTTCAAATATAGAAAAAAACAGTGAAAGGCTTGAACTATGAATGTATCTCTACATCACTAGACATACAAATTGCTTGGTTTCTAGGCACAGACAGACCACAAAAGATGCACTAAGCTACACAGCAAAACAAATGAATAACAACCAAAATGAATTTCCATTTTTATTATGAATGTCCAAAGTGACAGCATACTGTGAAAATGTTAGGTTCTCATTGATTAAATTTCAAGAGACCACAGACTACAGCATTCCAAGCACTTTAATTTTTGACAGAGCCAAAACAAATAAAAGAATGATCAAAATATTCTTTTGGGTGTAAAGGGTATTCATATTTGAGTTTTTGTAATTTTTTTCTTCCCTGCAGGTATGGTGAACACTGATAATTTCCAAAACACAATTTCTGGATACTTGCAGCAAACTTTTATCATCTCTGCCTGAATAAGAAGCTAAGAAGAAATGTACTTATAAAGTATGTTTAGGATATGACGTGATATGTTTCTTCATCCTCGTTTCCTTACTATCCCACAAGGCTTCTTGTCTACCACCCAGGTACCTGCTGTTTGTAACAACAGGACAGCAAGGCTGAAGTGAAACACTCAGAAGACTATACGGAACCCTGGATTTTCTGAAAGCTGCATTTACTTTTTCTTTTTTAATGAAAGCTTAAGACTTTCAGTGTTTGAGAATGTTCAAGGGGATACCTAATGATAATGGATTAAAGCCACCAATCAAGAACTACACAGTCTACAGAGATTGTGTTCAAGAAAAAAGCCTTGGTTCCCTAAAGCTATGGTCCTAGTAATCTGTAGGTCCAACACAATATGACTTTTTTCCCCCCAAAGTGTTTCCTTGCCATCTGTCCTTTCCATCACCGGTACGGGATGATGCTACAGATGGAGTTTGTTGCCACTGATATTCCAATCAAATCTGGTCCTGTGGAAGTGGGTATCTCTTACAGATGCAATACTGTTCATCTGAGTGGATCCCAAAAAAGAACGATTATGAACTAGAAACTCATAGAGTTTGTGTTTAAAATTTATAAAATTAAACCTGCTCCAACAGGTAATACAGGGAGGCATGCTTGCAACCTCTGGATTCAATCAGAAACAATGCCTGAGAGCACAGAGCCTTCTCAATAGGGAACGGCGGGTTCCTTTTAACGCTTCCTTAAACAAGATCCGATGTGATGGACATTAGAACTTTGAAGCACGTCTGTCTCATTTATTTCTACAAGGCCTGAGACACAGGAAGCTGCCAGGACTTCATTCATCATCATCTTGCCTGTTGACAAAAGGAACAATAACTGGTCATCACTGGTCAATGGAATAATTTTTCCTAGTTTTTTTCCAAGATCATTCCTAAGGAAAAGGTGGTGTCAATACAACAGCAAATGTTTCAATGTTTGATGAATTTCTGTGCTCTGAAATGCCATGCCTTCTTCCAACAGAGCAGGAAGAACCACGTTATGCAGTTATCCCATTCATTGCTCTACGATTGCTGGAATGATTCAGGAGACAGCCCTGTCCTGAAAGTCGGCAGACCCAGGCTCCACACATGATTCTGCCAATGACTGACACAGTCACCTAAATTTGTTGGGCCTTGGTTCCTTCACATATAGGCTAAAAGGACTTCAGTGGAGCGTGTCTAAAAAGAAGGCCATCCAGTGCTAACTTTTAATAGGTTCGTGTGGTCCTGCCTTCTTAGTTTCTTACAGAGTATAACCAGGTGCGACCATCTCAAGCTGTGGCTTACAAAATACCTACACCTGGGTGCCTGTGGTCCTTGTTCAGCTTGGAGTTGAGAACCAGGTCCAGAGAAATTTCAAAATCTCTATTAGCATCTTGAAGTCCATTAAAATCTTAAATGATAGAGTGATGGGTACAGAATTCTGAAAATACACATTTCCATGTTTTCACATCTTTTTCTGTCTTAAGGTCAAAGAAGTATCTTTTTTGCTTTTGTCCCTGCTGGCTTTCTTAAGAAATAATCGCATAAAAGCTGAAAAATACATTCGTAAGTATAAAAACATGGAAGCACTCTGTAAGAGCCTACTATCTAGTTATATAATTCAACTAGTTGGACTAGTTTAAATACGCCAAGTAACTTTACTAAGACGCATGTCTGGTAGGAGAGATGGGACCTAAACATAGAAAGTCTGACCCTAAAATTAAATGAATGTGGTTTTTTTTTTGTTGTTTTTTACTTTGAGATGGAGTCTTGCTCTGTCGTCCAGGCTGAAGTGCCATAGTGCAATCTCAGCTCACTGCAACCTCCGCCTCCTGGGTTCAAGCAATTCTCTTGAATTCTCCCTGGAGTAGCTGGACTACAGGCATGCACTACCATGCCTGGCTAATTTTTTTGTATTTTTAGTAGAGACAGGGTTTCACCATTTTGGCCAGGCTGGTCTCGAACTCCTGACATCAGGTGATCTGCCCACCTCAGCCTCGCAAAGTGCGGGGATTAAAGACGTGAGCCACCCTGCCAGATACCATATGATATATTTTTAAGGCATCCTGTTGCCCTGTGTGACAAGAAAGGTGGCTGAAATATTTTTCGTCTTTCTACTGTACTTTTGGATAGAGGGGAAACGTGTGAACTATCCACATAAAACAAAACTGGTGGCAAGATATCATCTATTACTTTGGATTATTAAGCTAATGAGTTTATTCTTCAAACCTAAAAGCTGACTTAAACAAAAAAGTTGACTTAAATGCTACCCGAAAGAAAAAGGCAATGAAGATAAGCTCCATCATTTGACTCTCAATAGCAACAAGACTAAAGTTACAAAGTTATTTTCTTAAATTTGGAGAAGATTTGCCAGGTTGTAACCGGATCGGCTCTTGTCCATAGCAAATTGGCAATTATGTGGTAAAGGCACAGAGATCACAATGGTAAACAAAAAGAAAATGATACAAATTCACTCAAATTATGGGGTGGGGACCTATACAAATGATCTGTAAACACATGCACATGTGCTAACACACACTAAACATGCAGGTTTCTTCTTGCTAAATAAGAGAAACAAATGTTTCTGTCTCAACAAATGAACTTGAAGTGTACGTAAAATTTATTATGGGATTCTGGCAAGTATTTTTATGACCATGGCTTTCTGGGCTGATTTCTTTTCTTTTTCTTTCTTTCTTTTTTTGAGACAGGGACTCACTCTGACACCCAGGCTGGAGTGCAGTGGCACGATCTCCGCTCACTGTAACCTCTGCCTCCTGGGTTCAAGTGATTCTTCTGCCTCAGCCTCCTGAGTAGCTGGGATTATAGGCACGCACCATCATGCCTGGCTAATTTTTGTATTTTTAGTAGAGACGGGGTTTTACCATGTTGGCCAGGCTGGTCTTGAACTCCTGACCTCAAGTGATCTGCCCACCTCGGCCTACCCAGGTGCTGGGATTTATAGGCATGCATCACCATGCCCGGCCTCTGGGATGATTTAATATACATCGTAAGTGCCTGATGGCATCACTGCAAGTGCATGTGATATGATTCCTCGCTGAAGAAGGTGGGTATTGAAAAGCAGAAACGTAAGGAACAGTACAGAGGCGTGGAGAGGACGGGCTTGGCAGCATGTCTTGGAGAGTGCTTTAGTTTGCAAAGGTTTCTCATGTTTATGCTCTGGTCCTTACAACAGGGGAGCCAGCTTCCGCCTCGGGAGGCAGCTGAGAGCTTACGTGACCTGCCCAAGGCTGGTGCTACTTTTTCTTTTGTAAACACACCGTCTCTTGCTCCTGACACTGAATATTCATGAGTTTATTATTTATTATTGTTCTTCATTTCTTCTGCATAGTGTTATTACTGCTATTGGCGCTCATATATTAAGTGCTTTCTAAAGGATTCTTGCAAAATGGATATAACAGAGCGTGACAACCAGTTTGCGTGATATGTGATTAATGTCTCCGCATAATCATGACTTGCAAAGTAGATATAACTATCTCCACAAAGAAAGAAACTGAGGTTCAGAGATGTGCTTCGCCCAGTGTCACATGGCAAATAGCAGAGCTAGAATTCCGAGCCTATTAGCTCCAGCTCCTGTTGTCTCCACTGCGCATAGTGTTTCAGCATATGCTGAGCCACTAAACAAACACCCACTATACATGTTATGCAGCTCCGTTTTTACGTGTCAAACCCAAGAGGAGCTGTTGCATCCAAAGCCTACTCATGTGGCTCATGCCTGTAATCCCAGCACTTTGGGAGGCCGAAGCCAAAGGACTGCTTGAGGCCAGGAGTTCAAGACCAACCTGGCAACATAGCGGGAAACTGTCTCTACAAATAAATCAATCAATACAGCCAAGTCTCTCTCACACACACACAGCTACTCCAGAGATCCGTGAAGCATCTGGATCAAGGGTCCATGCTGAGGGGACACGACAAACAGGTGGGCTTATTTTAAACTCCATAAACAGCTATCGTTCTTGTGAAGACGTGCATTCTCACAGTCAGGAATCACCCTTTGTAAGCAGTTGCCAGGGTGCACATGGGCTCAGAACACTGGCTCTAATTTCACAGTAAATAAACAGGAGGAGGTCGGGACCCCTACCTTTCAATGGGAACATGGTACAAAGGATAAGAACTTTTTTCTTTTGAAATAAAATTGAGAAGTGGTAGTGCCTGGAGGTAGAAGGAATACCTGGAGGAAAGTGAAAAATTTTAGAACCAGTTTTCTGCAGCACAAATTGCCGTAAATAATGTATTTGCTATACCTGTCCTTGGTTTCTAAACGCACAGTATGACGATTCTTTCATAAAATGGATGACAAGGAAGGCAAATGGAAATGAAGGTGCTGCTCAAACAGATGTTACTGGCTGGGAGTCCGCTGGTGTCAGGTAACTTACACCGCCTATTTAATCCGTCCAAACAGCCCAGGAAAGTATCAGGCTGGTGCAAATGTAATTGTGGTAGTAGCAAAACCGCGATTACTTTTGCACCAACTTAGATATATTCATTAATCTCACACTGCAAATGAAAAAACTGAGGTTCAAAGGGGTAAAATAATCTAGCCAAGATGACACACCTAGAAGGTGGCAGAGACTGGATTTCAAGCTAAGTATGAATGCCTATTATATATAAATATGCCATATATATATACACCAAATTATATATGCCTTTTCTCTCCAAGGCTACTTCCCCAAGACACCTCAACAACCAGACATCTGGATAATCACCCTACACTGCAGCCCATGAAACTGTTTCTTTTCTTTGAGATGGAGTCTCACTCTGTCCCCCAGGCACAACTGCAGTGGCATGATCTCAGCTCACTACAACCTCCACCTCCCGGGGTTCAACTGATTCTTATGCCTCAGCCTCTCAAGTATCTGGAATTACAGACATGCACCACCACGCCCAGCTAACTTTTGTATTTGTAGTAGAGACGAGGTTTTGCCACATTTGGCCAGGCTGGTCTCAAACTCCTGACCTCTCAGGTGATCCACCTGCCTCGGCCTCTCAGAGTGGTGGGATTGCAGGTGACAGCCACTGCGCCCAGTTGAGACTGTTTCCTGATGAGGGCCCAGCAGTGCTCAGGATTGCAGGGAGGCCCAACTGCTTCCAAAGTAGCAACACCCCCTGTCACCTACAGAAATCCAACTAAGGGACAGTGGCCAGGCTTCCAGGTCAATTTCATGAGGTTACAGAAGAGGGACAGAGAGAAAGGACCTAGCAGAGTGGCTCCTCAGACACCACAAGGGACCAACTGGATGAAGAAAGAGACATCGAGGTATCTTCAGTTTTTGTTTTTTAGAGTCATGGACTTGCTCTGTCACTCACGATGCAGTGCAGTGGTGCAATCACAGCTCACTGCATCATGGAACTCCTGGGCTCAAGTGATCCTCCCACCTCAGCCTCTTGAGTAGCTGGGACTATAATAGTGCACCACCACACCCTGCTAAATTTTTTTTTTTGAGACAGTCTCTGTTGCCCAGGCTGGAGTGCAGTGGCGCAATCTTGGCTCACTGCAACCTCCGCCTCCCAGATTCAAGCGATTCTCCTGCCTCAGCCTCCCAAGTAGCTGCAATTACAGGCACGTGCCACCATGCCTGGCTAATTTTTGTATTTTTAGTAGAGATTGGGTTTCACCATGTTGGCCAGGCTGGTCTCAAACTCCTGGCCTCAGATATCTGCTGGCCTTGGCCTCTCAAAGTGCTGAGATTACAGGCATGAACCACCGCACCCAGCCCCGTTAATTTTTTATATTTTGTAGAGATGGGGGTCTTACTATGTTGCCCAGGCTGGTCTCGAAGTCTTGGCCTCGAGCGATCCTCTTGCCTTGGCCTCTC